GGGGGGGGGGGGGGGTTGCCAAATACCCGACACGTGCAACTCAAGACCCCTCTGGGAGGTGACCGTGAGCTGGGACCCACAAGGATACGTGGACCTGTGGGGAGCACAGGCAATGAAGGAGGGGTAGGTGGGAGTGAAAATGGATGGTGCGTGCTGGGAACCAGTTGTGCAGGGCTTGTGGGAGGCAGGTGGGGAGGTGCGGACAGAGCCGGGGTGGGAAAGTGACCGAGGCGTTCGGCTGGGGCTTTCAGCTCAGGTAAGGGCCTGGAATGACACGCTAAGGACCTGATCGAGCAGGCGATGGGAGCCATGGAAAGCTTTAGGAAGGGAATGTACTTCCCTAGTCGTTCTAATGGCCTTGACTCCTTGGGGCCTCTCCTTCGTGGTTTCTTGGGGCACCGTCGTTTCACTATGCTTTGTGACTTGGGTTTCCCTGAGGGCTAATGTATCAGTATTTCCCCTCCCTCTCTGAACCTGCATCCCTGTTCTCCTCACACCCCACCTCTCCTTGATTGTCCTTCTTGCTTGAGGTCAGTTCAGCAGAGCTCTTAAGTATATGGGTTTGGGAGTCACTTGGATCAGTGTCGGAGGCCTGATGCTGTTGCTTCCCGCCTGTGAGAAGAGTCTGAGCCTTACCTCCCCATCTGTAAAGTGGGGACAATTGCACCTGCACCACCTCGGGGCGGTTGTGAAGATGAGTTAACAGAAGGCACTAAAGTCTTTCCGTGGGGGAGATGTTCAATCAATGACACCCGGTTGCATTACTATTCTGTCTCACTATTATCGTTGCTGTTCTGCTCTTCCCACCGTGACTCGAATCTGCCCTGATGCATTTTCCAGCAGAACCTGTCGATAGTCACCTTTGCCTCCGAGTCCCTTGGCTGGGTTCCCTTTCAACTCAAGAGGAGCTGAGGAAATGGCAAACAAATTCTGTTTTCACCCGATTGCTTCACACGGCCTGAAAGAACCTTCCCTCCTGCCAGTGAACTCCAGGAACCGAGGGAGATGGGGGCAAAGGGAAGCGAAGACAGGGCAGGACCTGGGTCGCACAATCTTCCTAGGGGGTTTGTTCACGGGTCGTGAGCAGGAAACGCGGGGCCAGCCAGGGAAAGGTAGGGGGTTACCTCCCAGGGGGCAGGGCTGGGAGGCAGAAGGGGGAACAGAAATGGGGGGTGAGCCTTCCACCTATGAAACTCCTTCCCCTGCACAAAAATTGCCTGACAGAGATGGGGAGAGATAGAGGCAAGAGAGAAGAGAGCAAAATCGCCATTTGCCAAGGTTTTGTAATGGAGTGGTGAAGGGCGTGGATTGTGGAGCCAGACCGCCTGCCTGGCTTTGAATCTAGGCTCAGCTACTTTTGACCTGAGATAAGTCACCTCACCTCTGGTGGTCAGTCTATTCATTCATAATATAAAAGCCACCACATGAAGTTACATTAAGTCAAATGCGTTATTGCACTGAAAGTGCTCAAAGCAGTGCCTGGTCCAGAGAAAACAGTGAATCTGGCTGTTGTATTATCAATGTTCTTGTCAGGACCAGCATGGGCGTGGGTGAGATAGATACTGCTGGAATAGTCTAGATGCATCTAGAAATATCTAAGTGTAAGCATGTGAATGAAGAATTAAGGGTAACTGGGGCGCCTGAGTGGCTCAGTCGGTTAAGCGTCCGACTTCAGCTCGGGTCACGATCTCACGGTTCGTGAGTTCGAGCCCCGCGTCGGGCTCGGTGCTGACAGCTCAGAGCCTGGAGCCTGTTTCCGATTCTGTGTCTCCCTCTCTCTCTGCCCCTCCCCTGCTTGCACTCTGTCTCTTTCTCTCCCTCTCAAACATAAATACACATCAAAAATTTTTTTAAAAAAGAAGAATTAAGAGTAACCTGTAACTGCAGTGGCGATATGGTAGCTGCTAGCTAGAAATTTTTACGTGTAAATTAATTAAAATTACATAAAATAAAAAATGAGGTTCCTTAATCACATTGACCACATTTTAAGGGCTCGGGAGTCACATGTGCTGGTGAGTACCATAGATCACCTCTCTCTGCCCAGCTCAAGCCTTCAAAGACTTGCCTCCTTCCACTAAGAATGAAATTCATTACCGTCTTCACGACTTAACAAGTTCCACGTGATCAGGCCCCTGCCTACTTCTCCTGTCTCTTTATCTCCTGTCACCCGAGCCACCCTGACCTCTGCTGATAGCACAGCGATTGAGAGCCTGCCCTCTCTGGCGACATCTGCCACCACTTGCTGTGTGACCATGGGAAAGGTTTCTTACCCTCACTGAGCCTTAAAGGATGATGCTAATAATCATATGTTACAGGATTGTGGTAAGAATTCAACGAGTAAGTACACATAAAGTTCTTAAGACACGCTTAGTAAGTGCCACATAAGCACTAGCTATTAATATTCGTGGTTATTGTTCAAACATACCAAAAACTGTCTTGCCTCAGTGCCTTTGTGTTTGCGGTTCCCTCTCTAGAATGTTCTTCTCCCAGATTGTACATGGCTTTCACCCTCACTCAATTCAGATCTCTGCTCAAATCTTCCCTCTTTAGAGAAGCCTTAACCGACTGCCCTATTTAAAACTGAATTCCTCCATCAGTTTCAACCCACATTCCCTGCTTTTTTCTGTGACTCCTATCACCACCTGAATATATATATATATATATAAATGTCTGCCATATATATATATATATATATATATATATATATATATAT